CGAATTACTTGTTGAGCCTAAGACTGATCACCTTAGCCTCTGACGACCGATCTACTATCAGCCTACGACCTACTACCCAGACCACGACCTCAGTGTACTGTTATAACGTGTCAATCCCCAGCTTCTGTTAGCAGACCCTACTATCGGATAGCTGACCGTAACAATGTGTTCATATGCAGGTCCAACTTCGTCGCAACCTCCGATAAAGGAGACATAGAACAACGGCGCACATATATTCTGTAACGAAATGTTTATCAAAGCTAAATATTCACTTTTTGAACTTTTATTCTGAACAGTCTGTATACTCTCATAGGATCGCCTAACTCACTATTTTCAAGCACTGGCACATTATACGAGCAGGTAGTGGTCGAGATTTTTAAAAGAGGTGTAGATTTGCGAACTCCAAGCAATCTAAAAACCGTTCAGACCCATCATTCATGTACTGAAGTGTCCTCAATCACCCGACAAGCTCTCAATCTAGCACATCAAGAAACCACCAGTAGCAGCCCCCTTGTGCGTCATGATACCACAATAGTAAACCTGGGGGTTTCCATCGTAGCTGATTTCGCCATCCTCGTAGTAGAAGACAACCCTCTCATCGCCCTGCTTAACATTGTTCTTTCCGCCGTCATACGGACTTCCATTCATAAGTGGGAACTCATAGCGGCTGTCATCCGCGGGACAGTCCTTGGGAAAGTTGAGCTTAACCCCCTTGGAGTCGTCGTTGGGGAACGGGTGTGGGTATTGGTTTCCTAAAGTAATGTTAGGATACAGCCGGGAGAGAGATTAGATGACCAAGTAACGAAGTAGGTGGAGAGAAGTGTAAGTAAAAAGCAAATGATTAAAGAACTTACGGCCGCGAGTTTCGCCCACGAGGTGGAGGTTGGTGCCTCGTTGCGCAGCAAGGTAAATTTCATGCCCGCTGTAAGTCTTGTCTCCGCACTTGAACGAGCCAGAGGAATCGGGGCCATTATGAAGCTGGATTTTCAAGTCATCAGCATTCCGCTTCAGAGTCTCGTCGTATTGTGGAATGCCTTACGTTGATGGGCGCATTGGACGGAACTCGAGCCTCAAGCTCAATTGGAAGCCCACTGGCCACACCGAGGAGGACGAGAACAGAGGCGGAGATGGAGAATCTCATTTCGACGATGATAAAATTTAAGAGGTAAAAGTTTGTTGTCAGTGAGAGGTATATGATAAGTAAGTAAAGTTGTGTTTATTTGAGTTGTTGGTAATTATGATCGAGAGCTTGGAGAGATGCTCGAAGGCTTTTATATTCAATTACTGCTATGCATCACCCTCTCTGCTTACACGTTATTCGGCAGACAATCGTCGATCCAAGCGCATGGGTAGGTCGCCCCGAAGTCTTCGTAGCCTGAATAAAGATAGAAACATGAGAAAGCTGTTCGTGAGAGCTGGAAACGGTAACCTGACACAGCGCAGTAACAGGCACCGAGCCCACAACTGCTGACCTTGGGCCAGGCAGTGTTAATCCTGAATCAGAGACATTCGCTGATCAAATCGTCCATCGCTGATAACTTTCAGCCAAGATGCAAGAGACTCTTGCCCTGAGAAAGGTCGCTTCATCGCGATATTCACCACAGAAACATCGCGAGGCTGAAAATGCTTCGCCCGATGCCATGAATCCTATTTTTGGGCTCGATGAAACCTCGGGGCCTGATTGACGTTGATGGATTCGGCTGCACTGTAGATCTTTACCATTGTAACTTGAACGTCCTGTTGGCTACCTAAAAATCGACCCCAAACTTTCGGATTCCGCCTCCGTGTCTGAGCTGAGCCTTGTCAGCTAGCCCCCGCGTGTCTTTGAACAAATTGATATAGGACCCCAATATTACTCAGAGTCGTCATTGTATCGGTCCATGTATCATTGGTCAGAATGTCTTGGTGAACCGCAGGATGCCTTGTGACGTCAGTGAGGCCAAGTGACTCGGGGGCGATAAATAGTGGGGCTGCGCCCGACCCATCGCAGCTGATTGAGAAACAACACGACATTTATATCACAAAGTCATACGTCTCGATCACTGCCCGAAAGAACACCAGTGCACATATTTCTTCCTGCACTTCAAGAGTATTACGAACCATCATGTCCGACGATTGGTTTTCTTCCAAGCTCGCCCCGGACGGCAGCGTCGAAGACGGATGCCATCCCCAAGAGGCACAGGCAATGAAAGACTACCTGCACCAGAAGACAACTGCAGCCGATGCCGCTCGAGCCATCACCCATCCGGTCGTGACTGCCGACAACCCCGGAGAGGACCTCGTCCGCCTATGGGTATTTCTAATGGATTCTCTCGTGGAATTACCGGCACAACACATCGAGTCATTGGTAGAGCTGCTCAAGGCAATCGAGAACCAATCAGAGCCCGACTTTACATCTCTAGGCGAGAGCAAGCGGCCCTCTGAGAGACTGTGGAAGGGTCTCCCAGGTTTCGGCAACCTATGGTCCGATTCATATCAATCTGGGGGCTGGAGAAAGGCTGCCACGGCGGCGAAGGGCCCCGAGCGTGATGTGCTGCGAGACGCACACGTCAGGAAGGCAGAGATTGAGGCGCGGTTGGTCGCGGCTGGCATCGGCGCCATCCCAATTGACTGGGGTTATGAGGTTGCCGCCGACGCCTTGGAGAGCAGCAACGCACTGCTTGATTTTGAGGTTCCAGCTGCGGCAAAGTGGCTCGCTATCTGCGGTCGGCGGTTCCGAAAGGGGGCGGAGGATGGTGAGGAGAGTTGGGCTTTGAAGCCCCATGTTACGGCATCGACAAATACCCCTTCTCGGGATCTCTTGAAAGCATCCTGGGACCAGAAGCTGAGTTTGGAACGATGGTCGTGGTGGGAAGGGCGCCTGAGGGAGTTGCAGGGGGAGAAGGGGGTTGTTCAGCATGCAGCGACGACGGCGCTCGGGGCCATGAGCAAGACATCCCGTGCGCAATCGTGAATGAGGCAGATGGATACAGAAAATAGGCAGTCGCAATAAACAGAGATCAGGTCATGAGAGTCTATGCAGCACCATATCGCAGTTCCCCAAACCGGCGAAAACAATATAGACATTGCAAACGAACACGAGAAATCGGAAGCCGCAGCTGTAGAGGTAGATAGCATAAGCTACTTTAAATTTCTGATAAGTGCACTTAATCGAGAATGGGAATTGCTGTCCTCGAGGAGAGCTAGGAGTGTTTTGAGCTTCCATGCTGAAGGAAAAGGAGCGAAGCCGGCAAACTACGAACGACAGGAATTTATTGGGCTTTCATTCACGCATGGGTGGTAATCAATACACCAACCTACACTGGTAATCCCATCCACTAATTATGTTTTGCTTTCAATGACCACAACACGTTGTGGAGAGTAAGCAATTCAAGTAAAGGCGAGTCGAAGGTTAGCATCAAGTTTCGCTTCATTACTTCAGCAGTTATGTATATACGTGACATGGCTCTGTTCACAAGCACATCATCAGTATCACTATGGTCACACAAGACAACCGATCCGAGGATTGATGAACGAATCCTTCTCCGCATTTGTTCCAGCCTGCTTCAACCTACGGCACACAACGAAATAAGCAACGTCAATAATTGGTCGAGTTCCAGCGCTGCAGCTGCAGCATCACCTATGTGTACCCATGCAGTCATCTTGTACTATATTAGGAACCAATGAGATCCAGACAATTTATCAAGTCAATTGGTTCCGCTGAAGCCTGATTGAGAAACCCACCCCATATCATTCTCTTCTTCTCCCATTTCTACCAACTGTTTTCTTTGCGCATCCCTCTCATTCTTCAGCCTCTTTCGTTCAGGTTTGGATCACTCCTTTACCCGGTCTTTTATTGCACGAGACATCCGTACGAGACATCCGTTGTTCCCTCGTAAGCCTACACCGGCACAATGGATGAAGTACGGTCATCCATTCAGTCCGACGATACTTTGAGATCTGAGATCAGTAGCCTGAGCAGTCCATCAGTCTGCGATGATTCGATAATTGAAGAGCAGACCGAGCTCTTTCAGGACAGCAAAACCTCCGAGGTTGAAAAATCTCTGAAAGAGGGCTGGACCGACGAGGACCACACGGCTTCTCACAGCCAACTACCAACCGAGGAAAAGAAAGACAATATATCGACCGAGACGTCGGAGCTGATCTGCGATGACACGGTCTTTCCTCTTCATCGCAGCAAATGGGCAGCAATCGATTCGTTCAGCATCTGCATCCTGGGCGTCGGAACCTCCCTCATCATCGGAGTCCTCATCTTTCTGAGCTACATTTGGAACGGTTCCATGCGGGCCATGGCTGGAGATAACATGGAGGAATCCTTTTGGAGTCAAATCGTATTCTCCGACTGGACGTCTAGGACCGTCACCGTCGCTGCTGCTATTCTACGCATCTGCCTCTCCCTTCAAATGGGCGTGTTCACTGCGATGATAGCGTCTCTCATGATTGAGAAGTCCGGCGTTTCCCTTAATGTCGCTCCGTCGATCGCTTTGGTAAGGGCAATGCCAGTATCACCCTGGTCGCTATTCAGCTGGACAGCCCTTTCGAATCCATGCCGGGATGGTATCATATACAAGATTGTCATTGGAATATCGGTGCTTTTGGCAATCACGTCTCAGTTCGCCTCGACAGCGCTGCTAACCGACTCCTCCATGGTTAACGTCACCGGTTCACGCACGACGTCCGAAATTCCGTACGCCGAAAAGCCGTATCTTGGTTACGTCATGAAGGCTTCTAAAGCGTGGAGTATGCAGCCGGGAACGTATTCACGCTTTGCGGAGAAAAGGATAGATCTCAAAGAGTCACGATCCGAATCAGCAACGGACTATGAAGACACTGGTCCTGTTACTCGCACGATCATGCCCTTCTTCAGCGAGTCGCAACGAACCGGTTTACGAAGATATGATGGGCCCGCCGCCGTTCTCGATTCCAGAGTATTCTGCATGCTGCCTGTCGTCCGCAACCTCACGTTCGAGTTTCCATTCCGGCACCTTCTGGACACGACCGACACCTTTGGATACCATAGTGAGTTTCTAATACAGGGAGAATTCGGTTTAGAAGGTCCCTTCGCTCAGGTATCCAAGTCTCCCTGGGATCGCACCTGGTCTTTCAACTGCATAGTGTCCGCTGGCAAAACGGCCAAAAGCGCAGCGGAGCCGAGACCAACAGATGAACTAGAGAATTTCTCGATCTGTTCAATATTTTCCACCAACCCAGGCGAACCTTTCCTCCCAGTCGATTTTGTTCATCGCTCTCCCCCGCCTACATCATTTTCCAATTTGTTCCTCATGTTCAAGAGTACCGGCACCGAGGATCAATGGATTGAAGCGTTGCAAAACAATACATTTGCCAACAAATCCGACTCCCAAAATTACACATGGGGCGTGAATGCCGAAGACTGGAAAGGAAGTAATGACGGAATATGGGCAGTCATTCGTGCACCTCAAGATCTTCGCCGGGCCAAGGATCCAAGTAATGTTGGCATTTCGATGAGTGCGTGCTTTGCACATCTTGACGGTGACTTGAAGAATGTTAGCGTGTCCAGCAACGCCAATGGGGTTGAGGCACCTGGACGCCTGGAATTAGACAACATCACGATCCGATACAACACGGATGCTATTCGAAAGCAGTACATATGGTCGACCAACATGTCTGCTGATGCAAGGGGTATACTGACGCTCGACTCGCAAAAAGCCCTCGGGGAATCTGTCCTTTCCTCGTCAACAACGTCTACGATATCTTTCCGCGGAGTTGCTGCTGGACTTCCCCTATTCAATACGCAGCCTTGTGCTGCTCTTCGAGTTGATGGGAACACGTCACGCGCTGTACACTACGCTCATGCCGCCCTCTTCCAGGACGTCATGAAACAAACGGGAAGGCTTACGGAGGCCTTACAGGCGATCTTAACGGTTACGCAGCAAATGGAATACTATGAGTGGTCTCGGAGCTTCACTCAGCGTGCACCGGGCTCATACATAATAGCCGAGGGGAAGTCGATACCCGTGCGATGGATAGGATTCAGCGTGGTTGTAAGCATCATATGTGTTCACTTCATTCTCCTCATTATCACAACAGCACTATTCCTATACTTTACGGAGGCAACATGTTTGGGAAACATTTGGATGTCTCTGAGTCAAGTCGTGTCGGCCGAGACCGCAGATATTATTCAGAGTTTGACTTACAAAATGGACAGCGAGATCAAGAGGGTCATTCAAGAAAGAACGCCTTCGGCAAGAGGTATGAGGCTGAGGCACAGAGTTAGAGTGACGAAGAATGAGGAGAGTGGGAGGGACGAGTTGTTATCTTTCTGAGCCCCGGGGATCGTTGATTCCGGGTCATGTATAGCACTGAGGCAGATAAGAAGCTCATGGACTATTTACCCCTACTTGCCTGCTAGGAGCCACTTTCCGCCAGTCTTCCGTAACTCGCCTCCGATACCAGACGGCACCAACCGATGATCATCCTTGTCCACAGCAGACTCACCTCCCTGAAACCGGCTCTCCATTTCAGCTTTTTCCCTAGCATTGATAGCAAAGATCGCCGGCAAAGTTGAGCTTTTGACAACGGCAATGTCGGATGTAGCGGTTTCAACAACAACCAGGACGAGGAAGATGATGGAGAAGAGAGTCTGAGCTGCCAAAAGCGCCAACCAGGGCCAATGAACATCGACATATACTTCAGATTGCAACGCCTCGCCGATCACGTTGGAATTCGCACCCAGAAGCCTGCTCATGAACGTCAATTTTGTGGCCAGAAATTACGCGGAAAACAGTCCTTGTTACTCACGAATTTGTCAGACCCATCGCAATATTCCGCGCCATTCCATCTACGGCATCTTGCCAATTGCCAGCATCTCGGATACCTTGTAGAAGCATGGCACTTCCATCCTTGATGCTATTGCTTCCCACGTCAACAGTCAGACTTGGTAATGAATCGTTCAAGAGGGTTCGAATTCCAGCAGCCCCTGTTCCGCCGAAGATGTACTTGTTGCCTGCATCCAGTGGCGAGGTAAGATAGCTGATATTCCCACTTCCGCCGTTAGGCCATTCAATGTCCCCGCTGCTAACCTCAGTATGTGACATGACTCTCTTGACTGAGATATTGTTGTTTGTTACAGCGGCATTATACGTGTTGATGCACCAGTGAAGGATCACTTCGCTCACATGAACTTCTTTCCTGCCAGAGCCGGGTCCATGTATGGCAAAATAATTGTAAAGAGAAGCCTCTTCCATCTGGGTGCCTTTGTACGACAACGTCGGCCCGGGTTCAATCAAGACAGTTGAGTAGCCATGAGTAACCCCAAGCGCAATCCCGTTAGTTAAACTAATGTTTGTTCCTGGCGCCTGGTTTCTCTCTGGCACTGCGATTTCCGCAAGATGTGTCACGTCTGGGAAGCGGCAAGTCAGCGCAATAGCACACGTAGGGAGGTAGCGCAACAGGAGCAGCAATATATCGCTCACGACAAGTTCAATGCCACGAACAACATAAAACACAGAAATCATCCGGAGGCAACTTACTTGTGACATGATGACATACAGCCAATGTGCTAAATTGAGGCCATGTGCAATTGCTTGTACTGCATTGAGGCGCTTTGAAAGAAATCGGTTCGGTGACTGGCGAGAACAGCCCTTTGGAAATCCCCCTTGCGGGAGCAGCCATTATGCTTCCTGTCGATTGTCGGACTTAGTCTCAGGCTTCAGGGCCGGTAATCACAGTGAATACTTGGCAATCACGGTTATGAGCATACTTATCGAGTTTTGATGAGCGGTTTCCCAGAAATAGTACGGCGTTCTCCATGCAGCTGCGCTCCCCTCGGAGGTGATTGTCACATTTCGAGATGGATAGGTGACGGTAAACTGCGTGAGTGTCGATGTGGCAATGGCCGACGTGAGCAAGAGCGCAGACAGAATACCAACAATCCTATTTAAAACTTCAGTAATCACTTCCCTTTTATCTAAAGACCTATACTTACCATCCTTTGGTACGAACAAGCAAGCCAAGGCTACCCCACGGACCTCTCGATGCTTGATCAAACATGTCAAAGTCCGTAAGAGGCCGAGGTTTTTTCTTGAACCACGACCACTTGCTTTGTGAGAGGCCCTCCGATACAGGAATCAGGAATGCTGTCCTTGCGATCGTGGAAAGAGCGGCTATGATGGTGTTCAGTGTGATGCCAGATGGCCATCTGGGAAGAGGCTTCTGGTTGAATTCCTTAAGGACGAGGACCAACGCCACAAATGCTACGAGGCTGATGATACACCACAAGATCTCTTGCCACCAGTCCTTCAGTATGCTTAGCGATCTTGTCGACCTTCGTGGCTCGGCGCCGGCTCCCTTCGGCTCGTGGCTACTTGATCCTGATTCTCGCAACTCGAGACCATGAGCGTTATTGATGGCAGCATCAGAGTCCTCATGAACACTATCCCTTTGTATAGCAGTATCGAGTAGTGGCTCGTTGGCTGCTTCAGTGTTGTGTGTCGGGACAGGCTTTCGCGCAATGCGCTGCGCGGGGTTGCGAGCGATGCCTTCGTATTCCATCGTGGTCATGGGCTCCCAGTCTGCGTGCGCAGCCTTCCTCTGGCGTCGCGAGTATTGGAGGTCGCGTCCTTTTATGTGCCACATTCTATTATACTATTTTAATTCTGCAGGAGGGCACACGGAGCCGATGCAACTGGTTCGCTTAGAGTCTAGATGCAGAAGGTCCATACGGCCCAGTTTGCTGACTTTGCCACAAACACCTGGTGAAAGCCTTGAGCTGAAAAAGGATTAATTGCGTACGGCGCAGCCAGTAACGGGTGCCTCTTGAATGGTGTGCTTATGGCCTATCAATTTATTAAGACGGGATAAGAGTAACGCATGTCAGCTCTTGGCAGGCCAACCCCACCATTTGATTTGCCAAGACAAGGCAACGACAAGAAAGTGCACAAATAACCCCGCGTATGAGTGTACGTTAGCAGGTTTGACTTTTCAGGCTGGGCTCAGATGTAACATTTCATTGATCACGATTCTATAAGTCTGTTGTATTCTCAAATTCTCCAGGGCTGCATACAAACTATTCAGGTTCATAAAGCTACTATTATCTGTCAAAGAATGTCAGAAGACTCAAGTAGACTTGGTACACTGAAACTCAATAGTAAATGGCCTGTTTACTCAACAATGTCGAAGTCTCAGACCCTACCTCGTTTCTGCCACTTGAGCTCGTTGTCTTTCCCAGAGATGGAAGGCTCATGTCGCCCTAAGTCATGGTCTAAATCATCTAGATTCTGGAATTATTGCAAACATGTCCGAGAGTATAAGTTGAACGCCTCCTATGAGCAATCTAATTACAAATCCACTCGGCACCTCATCATCTCGGGACCGAAAAACCGCAGGATACCAACCCCTGTCACCCCTAGCCCCGAAGTTTCCACGTTTTCTAGCACACGGCCCATCCTTTGTGTAACAGCCACCAACTTGATAATGGACCAGAGCCTTTTCACAAATAAAGATTTGTGGTTAATCCTACTCTTCATCCTCTTCCCTCTCCAAACATAAGGAGCTTGAATCTCAAAGAGGTCAATGCGAGACTTCCAGGAACTACTACTCTAATGGGTGTGTAGCTTCGGCAACCATCCCACACCAATGCACCCGAGAGCAAAGTGGAAACTCAATTCCCCCATCGTCGGATTCGGATTTCTCGAAATCTCCAGCGCAGGCAATATTTCTCCCTCATGACGCCAATTACCTTAATTTGTGTAACCGAGTACTCGGAAACCATGGAGCTTCTTTTACCAAAGGCAAACGCTCGAGTTGCCTTTAAAAACCAATGTCTCATGTCAGCTTCTCAGCCTCAACGCTTGGCCTCCTCGTACCCAGCCAGAACCACACCTTATCTTACGCCTGACACCCTGCGAAAGATCTGTCAAGGAGAAAAGAAGAAAAGAAGAAACAGTTGTCTTCAGCGCGAACGGGCCGTAAACAACGCCAAGTGCGCATACGTGTAAGCGCTGCTGCGTTGGAAGGCACGCTACTTTAGACCGGGCCTCCCAACCCGCCCCCGACTCCCTGGTGCCGATCCTCGCGCGGGGAGGTCAATCCACGCAGCCGAGCGGGCCGCAGGTGAGACGGCCCTCTTCTCGGCGAAAACAACACACACAACAAGAGGTTGTGAGTCCTTTTCGTCATGCGCTGCGCTATTGCGTTGCTACCTGCCGGTAGTGGTAGTCTGGATAGATCATGTCTTAGTTGATTTGGCATTTCGCATTTGTGGTTCGGTGCTTATAAGTCATGAGGTCTCCCGCACGCATCCAGTCTGCTCATGTTGTCACTTTCAACGAGAGCAGTTTTCCTGACTTGTAGTATAAGGTCTGAGTGATACTCAACACCATGCGGCACCACTTGCTCCTCTTCGCCGCCGCTGCCACGGCAACAGCAAAACACGGCAATGACACGAACTCGCCAAAGTTCCCGGCACCGTTCCCGTCGCCGTTCCCGGTAGCGACGATATCCTCCGGCGTGGTGCAGGGTCTGGCGACGTCCCTCCCCGATGCGCCGCACGTCGTGACCAAGTTCCTCGGAATCCCGTATGCCGCACCACCGGTCCGATTCGCACTGCCTCAGGCGCCAGAGTCATGGATGAGTCCCTTAAACGCGACTGCATTCGGGGCGTCGTGCTACCAGAACTTCGTCAACAACTGTACGGACTACCTTTCTCTTGTTTGTGTTTGGGGCCATGTACTGACAAGACCGCAGCCGTTGCTACTCGACCCGAGGTCACGGAGGCGCTCTACAACAACCCGCCCGCGCCGGAGAGCGAAGACTGCTTGAAGATCAACGTCTTCGCCCCTGCTAATAGGTCTCGTAGAAATAACAGCTCGCGCGCAGTGCTGGTCTTCATCCCCGGCGGGGCGTTCCAGATCGGCAACGGCAGAGCTGACCTGTCCGCCTTTGCGGCGTACGAGAATATCGTCGCCGTTGCTTTCAACTACAGAAACAACAGTTTGTATCACCGTATCAGGACCGACTTCTGCGTATGCTGATCAACACACAGTCTTCGGCTTCCCCGCCTCCTCCCAGATCCCCGTCACAGAGCGCAACCTCGGCCTTTACGACCAACGGCTCGCTCTCGACTGGGTCCAGAAGAACATCGCCGCGTTCGGCGGCGACCCGTCCAAGGTCACGATCTGGGGCCACTCCGCCGGCGCCACCTCCGTCGACTACCTCCTCCGCTCCTACGGCGAAAACGACACAGCGCCAGCCCCCTTCCGCGCCGCCATCATGCTCAGCGGCCAGAGCACCTTCGGCCTCGCCGCGGCCAGCTACCCCACCAACGGCCCGATGTGGGCAGGCATCGCCGCGGCGGTCGGCTGCGCCAACGCGACGGACGTGCTGGAGTGCATGCGGCGCGTACCCGCGCAGACCCTCGTCGACGCACAGCGCGCGACGGGCATCCTGACCGGCCCCGAGCGCGACAACGTCACGCTGCCGTCGCTGCCCGTGGAGGCGTGGGAGAGCGGGCAGGTCGCGCAGGTGCCGCTGCTCATGGGGACGGTGGCGCAGGAGGGGCGGGGGCTGATCAACGACGGGATCACACTTGATTTGTTCTTCAACACATACTTGCCGCCCACGCTCGTGACGGCGGCGGCGAGGGAGGGGATTGTGGCGTCGTATCGGGCGGACTCGAGTCTGACTACCGACTTCGACATCGCGGCTGCGATTTACACCGACTACGTCTTTCAGTGTGTAAGTGTCTGCCCTCATCCTCGGGACGTAGAATGTTTTAGTGCTAACTTGATGGTCTCAGCCGGCCGCGTTGCTCGCGCAGACGGCCGTCTCGCTCGACATCCCGACGTGGCGGTACTATTTCAACACGACCATCCTGAACATGGTGCCCGACAACCTAGGCTTCCTCGGCGTATTCCACGGGTCGGACCTGTTCCTGCTGTTGAGCATTCCCGGCAGGTCGAATTACACGCCGCAGCAGTTTGCGGTGTACGAGTACTTGCGCGACGCCTTTGCGAGGTTCGTCAAGGAGCCGACGAACGGCCCCGGGTGGGCAGCTGTGGGATCGGATGCTGCTCCTCTTGACGTGGTCGTTCTGGGCGATGTTGGCAACGACAAGGAGGTTGTGACGCTGTATAATAGCACGCTTCTTGATGCACGTTGCGCGCTGTACCAGGGATATTATCCGATTCTGCAAGCTGTATTGGGATAAGATTATAATTAGAGACGTATGTTTTGGGGTAGATATGTGCGGATAGAATTAATGTCAATATGATCTATAATTGAGAGACTGCCTATTTTTTCATGTGCTAGAGCGATCACTTTTCCTGTGACTATACTCTACCTCGCCGTCGTCGACGTCACTTCCATTGTCGCCGTCGCTTCTATGGTTGCCGTCGTTATCGTCATCCTTATCGTCGTCATCATCGTCGTCGTCGTCGTCGTCGCTACTGTCGTCTTCGATAAGGTAGGGGTAATTAGGAACACAGGAAATATAGCCGCGCAGACACAGGAAAATCAGGTGTTCTCATGATTGAGATATTGCAAGCTCTAGAAGGATGCGAATTTTCCACGATCTCGCTGCATCTTTTCTGCGTTTTCTTTTTCCTGCATGTCAATCTCGTATCCCCTCCGACGATGACGAGTGTTTGAGACCATTGATGACAGATGATGGTAGCGCGAGTGTCACTTTGAGACAAGCTTAAATCAAAGACTTTCGAGATGCACAACGGTTTCCTGGAAGGAGTGTGTATGTGTCAGCAAACGGGAAGGTGACACTGGATGACAGCGGCGCCAGGGCCCAAAGCTTGGAAGTTGCAGCGCGCCTTCCAGGGCCCCTCCAGCGATAGTACCCGCTACCTACAGCCAATCAAAACAGACACATCTGGTCCAACGAGGTCGGCTGATGCGGCATCCGCAGTGGGTCCTAGGAGTGGGGACGGAACTCAGCAGGTGCAGCCGGCGGTTCGGAGGGCAGCGATTGAACTGGACTGGCGAGACGGACCCCAACTGGAGGGAACCAGTGACTGGAGCCGGGGCACGCGGGCTGCTGCAATGCGAGGCTTCAAGGCTGCATCGAGGCGAGTTCGCTGCGCAGTGAGGTGGCCACCCCCGGCGACCCAGGACCTTCCTGGTTGCCTGCGCCGCTCTTCGCCTGCTGTCTGCCTCTCGTCTTCTGCCTTGATTCAGCGAGAGAGAAAAAGGGGTGGGCTGGATGACTCTTGTTTCTCTGGTTCTGGTTCCTTGCTCCCTCTTGCTGGTGGTCTTCCATTCCTGGTATTTCACCTAACCCGCCTTATGTAACCCATCCCAACAGGCGAAAGTGCCCCGTTCAGCCGGGCAATTCCCAGAGTTTCGGGGTCCTGGGTCACGAAGGTCCACCGTCCACGCCCAGGTGCGCGCTCCACTTTTCCCACAGTCACGTCCCGGGCGGCAGGTCCACGTCCTCGCCCGAAAAATCGCCTCGTGTCCGTCTCGTCTCACTCAACCTTCAACCTCTCCCTCCGTCCCGAACCCTCTCCACCGATCATCAATCACCACGACCACCACCGCCGTCACCTCCCAGCTGCCATGCTCCGAGGCCCTTGACACCAAGGAATCCGGCCTTGTTAGAGAGCATCCACTCGCTACGACTGCATATTTTCTCGACAGCGATTCCATCCCACCATCGCATGCATTTTAACCCCCGCCTCTGCCTAGCGCCAGCCTGAAAACTGCACACGACCCGGTCTGCCTCCCCCGACCAAAGGTCACGCGCAAACCTCCCTCCCCCCGTCCAGCAAGCCGACGCTCGCCCGTCGCAGCCAACCTCCGTCGCCATGCCGATCCTCGGCCGCAAGGCCGCCAAACCCCCCAACATCCGCGTCGAAACGAGGGCCGCGCCGCCGAAGCCGCGTCCCAAGCTCCCGCACTCGTCCCTCTCCGCCGCCTCCTCCGCGAAGGCCTCCCCGCGCGCCTCCCCGAACCCCCCCGTCAACAAGGCCCTCCTCGCCCGCAAGAAGAGCGCCTCGCCGTACCCGTCCTCGTCCGACGAGAAGCGCTCCGTCGAGCGCAAGCGCAAGGTCGACAGCGCGGGGCCCTCGCAGCCGAAATTCGACAGCGACTCCGACAGCGACGTCGAGGGCGACTTCACGAACCTCGAGGTGCCCCACAAGCGCCAGCGTCTCGCCGATGGCCAGCTCGTCGACACCAAGCGCGTGCTCACCCGCGCCAGCGCCTTCAAGGAGGGCCTGCGGGACCTGAGCAGACTGATCCACGCCGCCGACCTCACGAACCTCAAGACCTGCCCCAAGGCCATGCGCGTGCTCGGGGCCACGGAGCAGGACGACGTCAGAGTCAGACTGCAGTATCCGAGCATGTACGGGCCGGAGAAGTGAGTTACAAGCTTTGCGCCTAACCGGCCACTTTGCGTTTTTGCTGACGAGTCATTAGCTACGAGCTGATATGGGAGGCGGACAAGATCAATTCGATTGAGGACATCTTGAAGGTGGTGCAGCACGTCGCCGATGTGTACCTCACCGAAAAGCAGGCGGAGGAATTTCGCGACCCAGACACCGGCATCATTCGCAGGCTGACGAGGGCGAGAAATACCAACGACTTGCGTGGATTCAAGACAGCTCTTCAAGATGCCAACAGGAGGATCCGTGCCCTCGCTGCCGACGGCACAATACGCAAGAACTTGGACAACATGCATGGACTGCCGCGCGATATGGTACACTTTATTCTTCGCCAGGTATACGAGCGCACCGTCTCACCAAATGTGGAGAAGCTCAAGCAATACAAAAACGGCACCGACAATGTGTACGGCGAGCTAGGAGAGCTATTCATCTCCGAGGTCTTGCAGGAAAAGACCCGCATGACATCGGACCAGGTCTTTATCGATCTCGGCTCCGGCGTGGGCAACGTCGTCTTCCAGGCCGCCCTCGAGATCGGCTGCGAGAGCTGGGGCTGCGAGATGATGGAGAACCCATGCGACTTCGCCGAAGCCCAGGAGAAGGAGTTTGGCGCCCGCTGCAAGATGTGGGGTCTCCTGCCCGGCCGAGTCAGACTCGAGCGGGGCGACTTCACTAAGAATACAAGGATACATGACGCGCTCAAGCGCGCCGACGTCTTGTTGGTGAACAACCAGGCGTTCACGCCCCAGCTCAACAGCGCGCTCGTCAACATGTTCCTCGACCTCAAGACCGGCTGCAAGATCATCTCGCTCAAGTCCTTTGTGAACGACCAGGGCACGCGGAACCAGAATGACGTCGCCAACAACATCCTCGAGGTCGAGCATCTCACGTACGGCCAAGGCTACGTTTCGTGGACGAACGCCGGAGGCTCGTACTGCATCTCGACCAAGAAGTAGACTACCAGGCATTCCTTGTCAGCATACATCGAAGCGTTGTATGATGTCCTACGGGACTTGTCTTCTAGAAAGGGGGGGAACGGCATTTGCTGGATGCATGATGCATTTGTACATTGAAGGCGGGGAAAGCAGAAAACATTATTGGCATAGGGTGAGGAAATAGCGTTGGGTTCATTACCTGTAGAATCTTCTTTTTTTGATACTCCCATAGAGCGAGAGCAGAGAGGCGCAGAGAGAGAGAGAGAGCTTCGTAAGAGGGCGTGAGGTTGTGGTTATTACCGGGTATTCAAACAAGAAAAAAATAGACCGCATCGTCAGCGCTCGTTTGCGAGGTTCATCGCGTCAGCCTCTTGGGCCATTCTCTTCATCCACCGGTCGACCAGCTCCTTGTTTTCCGACTTGACCTTGTCCCGCTCCTTCTCCGCCATGGCCACCTGGAGGTTCAACGTGATCATTTCGTCTTGCACATTCTGCGCCGCGAGTCAGCAACCGTCCCCCTGTCTCTCTCCCCATCCGCTTGTCATAATTCGTGCGAGTCTTGCTCACCTCAACTAGCTTCCTCTTCTCGCGCAGCTCGTGCTCGCGGTCCTGCAGCTTCGTCGCCAGCGCCGTCTTCTCGGCGCTCAGCTGCTTGATCTGCTTCGTGTTCTCCCTGTTCTTCCGGCGCAGCGTCTGCGCCTCGTCCTCGGCCGTCTTTGCGCGGCTCTGCAGCGTGCCGTTGGAGCGCAGCGCCTCGGCGAGGTTGAGCTGGAGCTGCGTGACGGTCGGGTCGGAGCTGATTGTGTCTATTTGCTGCGGCGCTTCCTTGCCTGTGGATGATGCGGTAGAGGCTTTCGGGGTGACTTTGGATTTGAGGAGCTCCTTTTCGGCTTCGAGGGCTGCGATGCGGTCGGAGAGTTGGGAGCCTGGTGGGAAGGGAGAGGGCATCGTTAGCGCGGGAAGGGAGGGAGGGCGTTCAAGGGAGAGGTACAGAGCTGGACGATTTCGAGGTTGACCGGGTTGTTCTTCTCTTGCTCCCTGAAGGAGGCTAGGTATTCGGTGCGCCAGTCGGGCATTTTGTGGTTATTTTGGTGGAGGATTTTGAGCGATGGGATATCAGGGGGTTTTTAGAGGTTCATCTGTCGCTTTTGCTGGATGCAAACAGAATAGGCGTCTTCCGCTCTATGAGAAGGGCAAAGTCCCGCAAAGAGGTGAATCACTTGGACAGAGTATGGTCAAACAAATCGGTGCAATGGACGGCTTGGTGCATGAGGAGCGCTGCATTCCACAGCCAGACCTGTTCCCGAGGCGGCCTGAACATGCGGGTGATGCGACGGGCTGATTCAAGCAAGGCGGAGGAGGGGACATTGCTTTACTTGGGCTGCTGCTGATTGTCTTATCGGTGGTTGGTGGGGGATGATGACGCAGCAGGAGCTGTCTCCTCAGACCCGGAGATTAGCCGTCTTTCCCCGGGCAGGTGCAGGCTCCAGTTTGAGGCTCAGACTGATTCTTGGCGCAAGCTCCAGTTCGCTGGGGGTTGGAGCTCCAGCAACGACAGTCGAGCTCCGGTGAGCTTCCTGAGCTCAACTCACGACACACTTGCTCATCTAATATCCCATCTCACTCATCCACCACAACATCGACCTGTTCCAAACTCAGCTTCAAGAGGCTCTCACGTGATAGAATCAGACGAAACACTGGGGAACGGGTGCAAATGAATACAATGACATGATGGAAACCGCCCACCCCTCAGCCGGATGGGAAAACGTCGGCGACAAGTGGTACCGCAAGATCCAGCTCTACACCGAAGTCTTCGACCAGGACCTCGACCTCGACAACCACCTCGTCGCGGGCGCCCCCTACGCCGGCGCCCTCGCCCTCTTGCGCGATGACACGAAACTCCAGGCCTACCGCCCCAAGGGGGGCTCCGCCGCCTCCAACAAGCCCGGCATCGACATCTACTCGTACGCCGGCAAGCTCCTCCGCCACATCCCCTGGGACCAGGGCTCCGGCGCCATCAAAGGGCTGGGCTGGGCCTCCCTCGGCGGCGGCGAGGAGCGCCTGCTCGTCGTCACCGCCGACGGCGTCGTGCGCGTCTACGACCTGCTCGGCGAGTTTACCCAGTTCTCCCTCGGCAACGGCGCCGACGACTTCGGCGTTGTGAGCTGCCGCTTCTACGAGACGGGCATGGTCGCCCTGCTCGCCTCCAACGCGCTCGTCTCCGTCACATCGTACGCCGAGCCGCGCCCGCGGCTGCTCGCCCAGCCGCCCGAGGGCCAGGGCGAGATCCACAGCTGGGCCGTCGTCGCGCCGGATCACACGCTCTCGCGCTCCGTCGAGGTGCTGCTGAGCATCGGCGAGACGGTGTACGTCGTCGACGCGGCCGAGTACGAGGACCGCTTCCTGGACATCGGGCCGTTCAGCCACATCAGCGTGTCGCCCGACGGACGCCTGATTGCGCTGTACACCAAGACGGGCAAGGCGCACGTCATCTCGAGCGACTTCCAGGAGCGCCTGATCGAGCACGACTCGGAGAGCAAGATCCCGCCAAAGTATGTGGCGTGGTGCGGCTCCGACGCGCTGATTGCGTGGGAGGACGAGGTGCACATCATCGGGGCAGATAACGCCTCGGCGGAGTTCTTTTACGACGGCAGGGTACATGTCATCTCAGGTCAACTCACCCTCACACAGATCTCACCACAGACTCATGGGAACTAACACACAAATAGAACACGACGGCGCAAGACTCATCACAAACGACGTCTGCGACTTCCTCGAGCGCGTCCCCTCCGCCACGGAACAGGTCTTTGGCACCCGCGCCGAGTCCTCCCCGGCCTCCATCCTCCTCGACGCCGTCGGCCAGCTCGAGCTGCAGTCCCCCAAGGCCGACGACTACATCCAGCTCATCCGCGCCAACCTCACCGAGGCCGTCGACACCTGCGTCAACGCCGCCGGCCGCGAGTTCTCCGTCCACTGGCAGAAGCAGCTCCTCAAGGCCGCCTCCTTCGGCAAGTCCGTCCTCGACATCTACAACAGCGACGACTTCGTCGACATGTGCGAGACCCTCCGCGTCCTCAACGCCGTCCGCTTCTTCGAGGTCGGCCTGCCCCTCTCCTTCGAGCAGTACCAGCGCCTCACCCCCGAGGGGCTCCTCAAGCGCCTCGTCTCCCGCCACGAGTACCTCCTCGCCCTCAAGGTCGCCGCCTACCTCCGCCTCTCCACCGACCGCATCTACGTCCACTGGGCCTGCGCGAAAGTCCGCTCCGGCGCAGAGGACGACGACACAATCTGCCGCCTCGTCGTCGAGCGCCTCGCCGGCAAGCCCGGCATCTCCTTTGAGGAAATCGCCCGCGCCGCCTACGACGAGGGCCGCTCCCGCCTCGCCACCGAGCTCCTCAACCACGAGCCCCGCGGCGGCCGCCAGGTGCCCCTGCTCCTCTCCATGGAGGAGGACGAGCTCGCTCTCGACAAGGCCGTTGAGAGCGGCGACACCGACCTCATGTACGGCGTCCTCCTCCAGCTCAAGAAGAAACTCCCCCTCGCCGCCTTCTTCCGCGTCATCAACGCCCGCCCCACCGCCACCGCCCTCGTCGAGGCCGCCGCCGCCCACGACGGCGACAACGCCCTCCTCAAGGATCTGTATTACCAAGACGACCGCCGCGTCGACGGCGCCGCCGTCTTCCTCCGCGAGGCCCTCCGCCAGCCCGACGCGCGCACCGCGTCGGACAAGCTCGCCCTCGCCGCCAAGCTGCTCGCCGACTCGCGCGAGGCCGCCGCCGAGGTGCACGCCCTCAAGGAGGCGCAGACCCTGCTCAAGATGCAGGAGGCCTTCGACCGCGACCTGACCGACACCTTCACCGGGCTCAGCGTCAACGAGACCATGTTCAAGCTCATCCGGCTGGGCTACCACAAGCGCGCCAAGAACATCCAGAGCGAGTTCAAGGTGCCGGAGAAGGTGGCCTGGTGGATCCGGCTGCGGGCGCTGGTCGCGAAGAGGGACTGGGCCGAGATTGAGGAGTTGGCGAAGACGAGGAGGAGTCCGATTGGATGGGAGGTGAGTCTACATTCTCTTCTTCTCTCTCATTGTTTTATCAGTATGATATGTACGGATTATTGACTCTCGAGAAACAGCCATTCTACAACCTCACGCTACAAGCAGGCAACCCCCGCCTCGCCTCCGTCTTCGTGGCCAAGTGCACCGGCCTCGAACCGGGCACGACCATCACCATGTACGAAAAGTGCGGGATGCGCGTCAAGGCCGCCGAGGAGGCGGTCAAGCTCAAGGACGCCGAGGCGTGGGCGCGGCTGCTCGAGGCCGCGGGGCGAACCTCGCAGGAGGGCCGGGAGATTGAGAGGCTCGGGGCTGCCGTGTTCAGGAGGTAGCATCCACATCACCCAGTAGCAGACATCATCATGGCTAGGGTTTTTACACGACGAGGCGAGTTTGCATTGTGTTCAGGGGTGTTGGTGACTGTGGATGATGTCGATCGAGAGAGAGATCGGATGAAGGCTACAAGCAAGCATTGCTTTATTTTTATTCAACTTCTACGTTTAGAATGGCACATGGGACGGGCGGAAGCGGTTGGGTGGTGGTGTGGTTCGCTAATCTCGATATACATACGTAATCTGAGGACGTGGAGAGGTGCAACAACAACGATGATGATGATGCTACTGCAGTGGTGCGAGGTCGCTGGCTGTGATGTTTGGTGGTGTGGTTGCTACAAGATTTCTCTGGGTGGTGTTGGCGTCGCATTGAAGCTGTTGTCCGGGGTCAATCCGGGGTAAGCTGGGCACGTTGGGCGTTGACCGGGGTCATCCCGAGGATATTTGGTGGTGCACTCCACATCCTGACCTACCTACCTCCGAGGTGGTGGTTGGTTCTGCAAAACGTTATGCCCGAACAGGACTCGGGCCCGAGATGAGGCGGGCACAAAGTTGTCGGAGACGCAGGGCTTTTTGGCTTCGGTCTCGCCTCCAAAATTAATTGCAAGTTCACGATATGCATGCACAAGCACGCGGGCTGTGTTTCTGCTTGCGGTTTGATACTTGTCTGCCTTTGAAAGTGTCTTACATCGCCCGCGGGGTTCATGTAAATGCAGGTCCATCTAAGTGAGAGCGAAAGAGAAACAGAGAACTGAAGGTCGCGTGAGGGGGCCACACGTGGGCACGCCACACGAGACAAGCAACAACCTCCAAGATCGGACTCGTGAGGCTAGCGTCGTGGGTCGTTTTGTCCACGCCAGAACATGGGCAAGCGCTCCAGGTAAGGCAGATCGATGGGCGACGATCCTCCCGTTTGGCACGTTTGACGCGGAGGATATCAGGCCACTTGGGTGAATGAAGTGCGTCCTCTGACAGAGAGCATTAATGGAGGGTCCCAGGTTGGACCCAGGGCGGGATGGACGGGAGGACGTCACGAATCAGGTAGGTTTCTGGGGACGGCCCCTGGGTGAAGGCTCTAAAGCTTTGGAGTTGACGGTCCGGATATACATGATGTGCGTTGGGCTCTGAACATGTTTGTCCGGGGACGACGCCAAATCGGTCGACGCAAGTTCGTCCTTTTTCGCAGATATAGTTTGCACAGATGCTTGCGGATGGCAGACCTGGCAGAAGGTTCAGGTTCTGCGACGCCCTAGGGGCAGCTACGATGGAGGGCAAGACGGCCACCGCGCCAATCTTGGCCGGAGGTGAAAGACAGCCGGCCGCGGTGCTAGGCCCGCGTGGTGGAGACTTCCGAATGCAACTTCTCATCTGCTTGTTCGGCAACGGCAGCAGACGTGGCAGACAAGAGAGATCTCGACTTGAACCGGCAGACCGGTTCGCTGGGACAAAGACGAGTTTAGTTCTGACTGACTCTGGGCAACGGATTGGGTTAGGAGACATCAGACGAAAGCGAGGGGTGAAAAGGTCGAGAGGGTTCCGGAGGTAAGTCCGCACAAAGAAGCGAGAGTGGGATGCGGACGGAGTCGAAGGGTCCATCGCGGGCGCGGCCCCGGAGAAGAATCGGAGGACGCATGAAGGTGTGTTGTTGGGCAGTCTTGGCGTCTTGTTTGTTCGCGGCGAGTGGGTGCAGTGGCGAGGCAAGGCGAGGCGGAAGGCGAAGATTCCCCGCCAGTTGACGAGGAACACTCTGCTAACTTGCTAAAGAGACAGAGAGAGCCAGCAAGCCGGGTGTGCCGGGTCGGGTTCGGACCCGTGTTTCTGAGTGTGCTCCACGCTTTCTAGAAATTTTTCCTGGCTGTGGCTCTGTTCCGCCAAGACGGGGCTCGGTATGTCAGTGTGGAGGGCCAGAGGCAAGGCGGAACGGACGCGTTCCAGAGTTTGCTGGTCTTTTTTCCTTTGTGGTGTATCAAGCCGCCGTGGGAAGCCGGAGGATGCTTCGGGAGAGCGGACGACGGACCGGACGAGTCATGGTGGACTGGACGCTCGAGAAGCGACGTTTGAATTCCCCATGGCGGCTGGCTGCCAAGTCATTGTGGTAGATGAACGGGAAGGGAGATCTGCCTTAGTCATGCAGCGTTCCGACGGTGGTGGTGTTGAGACGAAGAGATACCGTAAACATCTCATATGAAAGGGGCAAAAAAAGGGAGCCACGATGTCGTGGAAGCTGCATGAGGCGGCCAAGTGGTGATTCCCAGCCATTTGCTGGACTTCCGGCGGGGATCTGAGGAGCGTCCAATGGGTGGCAAGATTCAACTCGTCAGGTGAGGGACTGGACGTCGTGGTGAGGGACGGGAGTGGTGGGGTCTCGGACGTCTAGACAGGCCTGGGTGATGGCACTTGCTATACTCTGAGGTACAATATATAGCAAGGTATAGATATAGAAAAGGGCTAAGTAACCCTAATAGATATAACCTAAGGTGTGAATATAGAAGTACTATACTTGATACTAAAAGATATAGAGGTTTTAAAAGAGATAAAGATAAAGTAAATAAAATATAAATAACTTTTCTTTATAGTAGCTTTAGCTACTAAAGTTATAAAAGCATTACTTTATATAAAGAGAGTAGTAATAAAGTAAGTAGCTAATACTTTATTTATTAATTAATATAATAGTAAAATAAATAACTTAATAACTTTAATAATAACTTTAACTTAGAAAGTACTATATATACTAACTCTTCAGTAACTATTAAAAGTATATAAAAACTATAGTTAAGAAGAATATAAAGATTCTTTATAAACATTACTAAATTTAGTATTAAAAATATTATTACTATATTTATTTTTAGTACTTACTTCAAAAAATAAACTGAATTATAATTAATAGGTTTATAAATATAAACTTTATATTATATTTATAAGAAGTATTAATAAGAGAGGATATGTAAGAAAGAGTAGGATCTCACTATAGCTTTCTAGGGTAATAAATATACTACTTATAGAACTACTCTACTAAAAACCTTATGAATCGCTTAGATTACGTAGGAAGGGTAGGATAAAGAGTTGAGGGATAAAGTAGTGTACTAAGACTAATATAAGAGAAATTCAAATAAATAATAGGCCACTCACACCTTAGGGTGGGGGGAGGGTACTCACTGCACTCTAGCGAGGGTTGGTCGCTATCAGGGAGCTAGCCTGCTGGGAAAAGGGCGCTAGGAGCGCGAGTGCGCTAGCGTGAACCCCCCTGGAGATTTAGGTCCCTCGGGTGCGTGCCTGAGGTGGGAGCGGAAGTGGGAGGGCCTCATGCTTCAAGGGCAGCAGCCATCCACCACCTCACGAGGGCAATCCTCGTCGCCGTCGTGCCTGTCGTCGCAGCGCAGGCGTTGGGAGGCGGGCAGTTCATGTGGGAGTGGTGTCAACGGCGAAGCGTCCACGGGAGCCCCGCCAGAGGAGGTCAGCATGGCCCACGGACATGCAGGTGCAGATCCAACGAACCGGCCGGTGATGCTGGTGCCCTCGGAATGGTTGGCCGCACGTCAGAACCATTCCCGTCCGTGACAGCGGTGCGGTTGGCGGGAGACAAGCGGGCGGTTGAGTCTTGACGCCGCCATTGGCGCGATGGGTGGACACTGGATGACTGATGGGCGGAAGGATGAGGTTGAAGATGAGCTGATGATGGGAATCTTGTTCCGCGGGTGTCGTGGGGGCATGGAGGTTGGTGCCATGGTGGTGGAGGAGGTGAGGGTGGAGCATGAGATGGGCAACGGCAGAGCCGGAAATAACGGCCAGTGAGGTGAGACGAATTGAACCCTTCTTTCGCCTCTGCCGATTTCTGCATCTGACGACATCTAAAACAGGGAAAGAGGGTTGGTTGGTTGCACGAGGGGAGGAGGAGAAGAGAACAGAGGTTCGGAGACTGCCGCATTCCACGGGTGACGGGAATCACAGGAAGGAAAGTATCGTGGGATCGTGGGTTTTGTGAAGAAGCGACAGGTGCAACTGCATGCCTCGACATGATGGACGTTTCTCGTCGTCTCGTGTTGCAGCCCCGTGCTCGGTGCTCTCTGTCGAATCGCAACGGGCGAGACAAGAAAGAAGCGCGAATCAACGTCCCAGATTGCCGCGGTGGAAGGTGCAGCGGTGCATGATGCTCGGCCCTGCCTCGCTCCATCTGAGATCTTTCCGTGATCCCTCACCGATGGGCCGGTGTACCTCCGATGCCTGCTCGGAGCTTCTTTCCATCTCCTCGACTTTTGCAGTGTGTACGCACGCACGGCTCAGGATTACCTGGGATACCTTATTTCGTCCCCCTGCCTGTTTAGAGGAAAAAGACTCAACTTGACTTGACTTGACACTGACAGCCTGAGGTTCCTATTCGTGCCTAAGGAAGGTACCGTCCGCTTGCGGCGCCTTCTCTCCGTCAACAACCAGAACCAGAACCAGAGCTTTCCTTTCTTTTCTCCCAGCCTCCCGGAGCGGGCTGAGACTGAGACCTTTGACGCACATGACCAGGCCATGCCCTGTATCCCGCACCCAGCTGCTCTGTTCCCGTTGCTTCTTCGGGTATTCTGTACAGCTCGATGGCAGCGGCTCGTCTGGACCGGGAGCACTGATGCCCTGGTGCACCGGTGCACGCGCAACAAATCTCACGCGCAGGACGGGTTCCGTAGTAGATACCATGCAGTAGATATTCAAAGTACCTTACCTGTTGGAGGCTCTGTGCTCTTACGGATACTGAGGTGCGTCCTAGTGCAAGGTACGCAGGTACATGCCACACGGCTGCCACTTCCACCCAGACCTTCCCGTCGGTTCCAGGGTCCTTGCTTAGGCTCGGGAATTCGTCAGTGATCGTCGACACAAGAGACAGACAGACGGCCACCCTCCGGACATTTGCCATCATCGGGGGCCACCACCATCATCATCAACATCACCGTCACCGTCGCCCTCGGTCACGGCATCTCCTCCCCTCCCCTCACCACCACCCACCGAACCGGCGAGCG